CAGCTTCACCCTAAGAGATTTTCCTTCACTGCTACCAGTTATTCTGTTCTCATCAACAAGTGTTTTTGCATTCTGTGTTTATGGAGGAAAAGAAACCCAAATCTAAACTTTCTCTAGAGGGATCGCCTTCTAAGGATGCTGATGACAACTCGACTGATATATGAGATTTTGTTGGGCTGAAGAGGAAATGCAGTGGTATCTGAATGTGCACCTGAATACCTAAACTTCTGAGCTATAAGAATAACAGGCATTTTATGAAATGTCAGTAAATTGGAGTTTGTCTTCTAAGTTGGTTCAGAATCACTTATGCTTGAAAGTGAAAGCTCAGCATCTTCTCTAAACTACGTGCACAGTAGGTTTTAAAGTAGGTTTTTAAAACCTCCATCCTTGTTATCATATTTAGCCTTAACTTTCTAACAATTGTAATTGTCCACAGAAAACACTTCAAGATAAATGCACTATCAGGTTTTGAAATTTTCTTATTTTTGTAAATAATAAGACCTGGGGAGCAAAATAAGGGCTATATTGTGGATTAAGTGAAATATCTCAAGGCTGTGCTTTTCTGATAACTGAACCTGAAGTGACCTTTCTCAGACACAATTACAGAGCTGTATGTTTTTCCTTTAATTTCATCAGGGGTTTAATTAGTATACAAATAAAACTTCCCTTATCTTCCTTTCTACCTAATTGGCTTGTCTTCGCTTATATATGAAGTATGTGAAAATGGGCTGTAATTAGGGTGACCGTGTTAACCTTTTTTTCTCAAATGTACTGTTGCCTAAAGGCCTCAAGGCCTAAAAACAGTGCTTTGGATTATTGCTTTGCAATCACTATGGCTCTCCCATAGGTTTTCTCATGAGCAGAAGGGCTTTGGGTGCTGCTGGTTCCCACTGCTTAACGGGATCTTCATTCTTCTCCCCACTAAATGTTTATTGATTATCTCGCTGCTCCACACTCAGCCTCCAACAACTTAATATCAGGTGACAGTCAGGAGAGTTCTCCAAGTAATTAGAGTGGAGCATTGAGGGAACAATTAGGAGCAGAGTTATTAAACTTGATTTATCCTATTCTCTCCTGAACACTTTCTTGGATATCAGAACATCGCACTTTCACAATCTACCCTGGCTGAGAAATTAGTGGCTAACCTGCTGCTTATCATTGTTGCCTTGCTGCCTTGAGGCACACCCTCTTGGTTTCAGTCACTCAGCTGGAAATATTAGAGTCCATAAAGTTTATCAAGGGTTTTAATTAGATCAATCTGAAGAAGGAAAAAAAGAGAGGCTTAGAAGCCGTTACTTTAGAACATTCCATTCTGTATTTGAGCAATTGTTACGGCTTCACTTTACCCACAGTAGCAAGGAGTTTCAAGTGAATATTGGTAGTGTTTTTAGGGAGCTGTTCTGTTTACACTTTGCTTTGATGTTGCAATATCAAAGATAGGTAAAATTGAAATCCTTTGGAGATTTCTCCAAATAATGTTGAAAGTTATCAAAATAAAGCAGTAAGATTTTTGATTTAATAATTTCTATATAGCTTTGTCATCAGCGTCTTGCTTTACAAGAGCTGTGCTTCATATGACTGCCTCATTAATAGTCCTGTGTTTGGAATTGACAAGCAGTGTTAGTTAGCAGCTCACACAAGCTTTTCAAACATTATGGGCCTCTTCGTTTTCTGTGGTCCACGATGTAAGCTGTGTGCTGGAACAGCCCACTCTTCAGTACCTGCAGGAGAATAACTAAAATTAATATGCATCCTCTCTTACTAGAGTATACATATTGGCCTGTATTTTTCCAGTCATTAAGATCACTAGAATCTTAGAACCAGGCTCTGCCCCAGTAACCTCTACATCTAAAGTTGCTTGTGTCAAAGTATCAGCAGAATTATTTTCTGAGCAGACCAGAGCTGAATACTGTCACTGCATCTTTAATTTTTAATTTTTTTTTTTTTTCAGTGGCACTGGGAAAGTGAGGCATTGGTACCAGAGATATTCTATGCTCAATACGTTCAGTTTGTCAAAAAATGGGAATGTGAGTGAGAGGGACATGACTGCATTTATAGCTGTATTTCTTCAATGCTGGTTTTGCCTAAAAATATATCAACAGTAGCACAATAAATGGAAGAAGGTAATGTTCTGAAATTCTGTCTGCAAACACAGTTGTTCAGACAAGATTTTAATAGTCACTGGTAGCATCAGAGTCGTTCCTGGTTTTGGATATGCTTATGCTAATAATACAATGGGAGTATGAGATCTGTGTGCTCATCTTTTTTTTTTTTTTTTTCTTTTCTTTTTTTTTTTTTTTTTTTGGATGAAAAATAGGATATTTAGGTGAAATTAATGAGATAAGAAGCATAGTAGACTTATTCAACCAGCATTAACTTGAGCAAGACATCTCCATGCTCTTCTTACATCAGTGATTGATCTCAGCCTGGATTTTGTAAATTGCTGAACAGAGGATTCTGGTAGCAGTACTGTACTTTGTATTGTACTGTTAGAATATGTGGTTCTTCTTATTACCATTAGAAATGTTTGAAAAAAAATATTCATAGATTTCAGTTTGTTTTTCAGGATGATAGTATTCAGTGCCATATTTTTTTGGCTGACATGTTTTCTGAAGTGCTTTTGGCTCTTGGATAAATCTGAGGCTTCTTCAAATTAGTCATCAGTGTCCTGCAAATTTTTATCAGCCTTTTTTATATACCACTCTTCATACTTTCTCACAGTGTATTTTCAGTGCTCAACAGTCCAAATCAGGTACCGCCAGGTACAAATTATGCGTTTTTAAAACTTCAGCAGAAAAGATGTCCATAAATTTTGAAACAAGGTGCAAGTATTTAGTCTTGCAACTTTGCGGCGTCCTCTGTTTTTCTGTGATTCTTTAGAATCTGTGAGGAAACTTAGGTTTTTAAACAAATATTTAGAGATCTCCGTTCTACATAGGAATCTCTAAAAGTAATGCCTCCTGTTTATTTCTACAACAGATACTCAACAATGATGTTTTGACAGAGCAAATTCTTAGCTTCAAAACACCGATTTTCAGCATAGTCAGAGTACCATTAGCTATGCATTTTCACCAGCAATGAACTAGAGCTTGTATGCCATTCATATAAAAATGTGCACCAACAGAGGTGACATGCTGTTTCACAGATGCAGTGATGGAGTTGTTGGTAGGAATATGTTGCCTGTGCAGTCCGTGTGTCATCATCCTAAAAAGATGGAAGTCAGGAGGCTCCAAATTTGGACCATATGGTGTGTGTAGTAGGACAGTCCAGCCAAGATTGGCAGTGTGTTCCTCCGTCTTCAAATTGAAATAGGGCCTGGTGTTATTATGTTGCAAGAGAAAGGTTATCTTCTCTGGGCTGGCTCTGGAAGATCAAGCCTTCAGCTTAGTCAGCAACACTAAGTAGCAGTTGATAGTTCATCCAGGTTCCAGAAAATCCAGAAGGATCACTCTTTTCCTATTCCAAAAGACAGTGCACATCACCTTATCCACTGAGGGCTGTGTCTTGAGCTTTTTCTTTGTTGGGGAATTCACATGTTGTCACTCCATGGACAGCTCTTTTGCTTCTGGTTCACAATGGTTACACCACATCCTGTCTCACCAGTGATGTGATCTAGAAAACTGTCACCTTAAGCATTGTATTGGTTCATTAGATCTTGACATGGTATTGCGTATGGTGTTCTTTTTCTTCCTTTGCAAGCACTAGTGGGACCCATTGGGAGCAAACTTTGTGATATTCCAGTGTTGCCACCTTTGCTTCCAATGCATTGAAGCTGATATTCAGCTCTGTACTCAGTTCCCTTACCATAATCCATTGATGTGAATAAGCTGATCGAGACACACTTCATTCTGGGCTGTGCTTGGCCATCCAGAATATGGCTTGTCTTTCATGTTGTTTATACCGCTGCTGAAATGCCCCACCCACTGCTTTACTGTGCTCACATCCACTGTTGGGTCTCCATCAGTGTTCACATGTGTTGATGAATGTCAGAGGGTGCCGTGTTTTCTGCATGGAGGAGTTCAGTGACACACCTTTGCTTCATACGCACTTCCATGTCAGATACCATTTTATCAGACTGTCCCTCTGCTGCCATCTGCCACATGACTGCAAATTGTAATAGAATATTGGAGGGAATATTCAACTTCTACTGCCTTATCATCAATATCTGCCTCTGATGTTATGGGACATCATAATAAAAAAGGAGGCATTACTTTCAGAACATCCCTCATAGTTTCTTTCTAAAAAAAAAAAACCAGCCACTATATATAAAAGATGACATTTAGCAAAATATGAAATCATGTTATTAATACTGCTGTCTCAAAATGCATTGATTTATCCTAGCTGAAAGAAGTAGCAACTAGCCAGGCTCTGTATTAATTAGTTCTGTGTGCTATTTGTCATCTGTTGGATTAATCTGAATTGATTTAAATCATGTTAGGTTAATTCTAAGCTAGAATGGGAAAAAAAGAAAACAACAGCTAAAACAACAACAAACAATATTTTGCATTTGGAAAACTCATGTTGAAACAGGAGATGTACCATGAAGTAGTGATTTGGTATTAAGAACTGCTGGAGAACCGTACTTTGTGCACTAACAGAGAATTGGATTATCTAAATCATGCAGAATATTTAAATGAAAGAAACCAAAATTGTATTTTTGTGAATTCTTTTATTTAATATTTGTTTTAAATTAAGGTTCGAGAATATTCTGTTTGTTTAATTCTATGCTCCACTGTGTTTAGATCTAGTATTTGTAAATACAGTACTACTCAACAAATCATTTTATTTTATAAAATACATTTGTACACAGGCAGTGTACTAAAAATGGGTATGTTGTGAGCTAGTAATGTTTTTACTACAGGATTTGTAAACCCTTACTATCTAATGGTCCAAATATACTTCACAGTCAGTCTGTTTTCCGCTTTGTTTAATAGCCTATGGCATAAATTGAAGTTAATTATTTGGCCTGACAAGTAACTCTGCTTTCTGTCTGCTTGCAGAGACTCTCCGAGGCAAAGATGGAGCTGAGAAGAAAAGATCAATCTCTGCGTCAGCTCAATAGACTTCTTACGCAGCTGGAGCAGGACAAGCGTCGACTGAAAGAGAGCATCCATGATGCAGAGAGTGCCCTCTGCATGGCAGCAAAGTGAGCGCTTGGACCTTGGGGAGATCACTTAAAACAGACAAAAGATCAATTTTTACTTTCATGCACAGGGTTTTAACTCTGGCTAATGTAATGCTAGAAAACAAAAGTACATCTGTCTCTCTTTGAAATTCAGTGGTGGTTTTCTAAAAAGAAGACTGTTAGTCCAACATGCTAGATTTATGTTTTCTGTAGTTAGCTCCTCAAAGTGTTCCGATTTCTAAGTCCTGGAATAGCATAGGTATTTTGGGTTGCCAATTATGTTACTGATTTGACAATGTCTCTTTGGTAGAGCTCTACCACACCATTTAATTAGGAAGTAACTGCTAGTTTTCTGCATTTCCAGATCATCTTTTTATAGAATGATAAAATCTATAGCTCATAAAACATACAAAAACATCAACTAGGTGTCAGGTCTTCGCTGTCAAAGGAGTTGAAACTCATTTTGGACCATATCATATCTGTACGAGAGGTTGGATCTTTCAGCTAATTTCAGGGAGTTTTAGTTGTAAAACCTGTGCTTTTTTGTATTTTATACATGAGAGACTGACGATTTACATTAATGTGATTATTATTAACCTCCTAGAGTCACGTAATCAGATAAAAAAAGATAATATTTAAATGTTAAACATTTCTCATTATACCCAAGATGTAAGTATTCTTAAAAACAGTAGTATAGAAGGTTGAAGTGTTTTATGTATGAATAAAATCTTGTAATTGCTATGTTTTTTGGTGAGATGCTCAGCAAGCTAATGGAAATGCTAGGTGATATTTAGTAAGAGTCTGTTAAAGTATATTTGACCTGAAGAAGGTTTTGGTCTTGAAAACTTGGTCCTTTTCACCTTGTCACAACCTATGTTACATACAATAGTATAGAACATTCCTTGTGGCATTTAGAATTTAGAAACCATTTTATTTCTGTATGTAGTAGTTGGATATTATGGAATACAAAAACGTCCCCATATTATACCATTAATTGTTATTTTTTTAACTTTGGAACATACCAGCAGAAGGGATGAAATAGACTTCATATTTGAAAATCTTTCTTTAACAGCTTTTCTACGACCTGATTGACTGTAAGCAATACATTTTTATTTTCATGCTCCTGGGTGTCTTTCAGTTTTTTATTTTTTTTTCCTACAATCTTAAGGGATAGGAAGATGACTGGCTCATTCTGAGAAGGTCTTTGATTTTCTTGCAGTGGTGGCCAGAAATTCCATTTCTGGAGTAGGAAGCAGCACTAGTGAAAAGAGAGCCTATAAGCATCTAACCCAACAGTAATATATTAGACCTTTCTCTGTCTTCTCTGCTCGAAAATAAAGCAGTGTTACAAAACAAATTCTGCATTCATGAGCCACATTTAAATACAATAAATAATAGTTCTGTGGTTCAAGTCCAACTTTCCTTACCCCTGTAGGCACTGGAAAATATCTGAATAACGTATGGATTCTGTCATGTAGGGGTGCAAAAAGATTCATTTTATTAAACTTTTTTTTTAAGTGCTGTAAACGTATTGTCAGAGTTTTTTTATGTAAAGATGTTGTTTAACTGTTCCCAAAAAGTGAGGTAGTAATTCAAGGACATTCACAGGGATTTCTTCACAAAACTGTGAATACTTGAGAATATGCAAGGAATAGTTTGATTTCCATATCACTTACTAACTTAAACATTAATTCTGTTGGACTAGCTCTCTAGAACCAATTTTACCCAGACAAAGCAATCACTACATGAGTGAGGAAAATTGAGAAGGAACAGTAGCATGTCTTTGTAAATTGAATCTGAAGAAAGATAAGATCCTGGAAGGGCAAAAATCTATGTTACAGCTTTACTAAGATTATAATAACCAATGTTATTTTTCTTGCTGCCTTATTATTTTTGCTGCTTAGGATAGTATGAATCAGTAAAATGAGGAAACAGTCATAATTCTAAGCAGAACACTACCGTGGTTTTGAATTCAGCTTCAGGAGTTTCTAAGAGTTACAGGAAAATATTCACTTAGCTGGCAAGCCTGTCCTGGAATACAGAGTATCAACTTATTTGGTGTGAACTCTATTTGATTTCCTCTTGAGGTTTGTTGGTCACTATGGCCCAGTCTCCTTAATATTGTGCAACTGCAACTACATTTCTCTGAGTGCTAGGTTTTTTATGGCAGAGTAACTATGCAAAGCCATCTTTCTTACTTAAGCCCCTGTCTGCAAAAAGGCATGAGTAATATTTCATTATCTGAACTTTTGTTTCTTAAAGATAGGATCCTTGTCTGGACTGGAAAAGACCAGTGGAATGTGTACAGGGATGGTCAGGTTTCTAGAAGACTAGTTTTCTTGTCTACAAGAATACTTGATGAAAAACGTAATCTGACAGTATTCTCCAGAAGGAGAATGTAATCTCATCCCACTAGAGCCTGTAGTCCCTTCAACATGCCTTTTTTATCCAAAATTGCAGAATTCCTCTCCAACAACACAATGATTATTAATTGATATTGCTATAAAAATGGTATGTAAGTTATGTATTTAGAGGTATACAAATGAATAATATATAAATAAATGCCTGTAAATACTAGTTTAATCTCTTGCATACAGTACAGGCATCTCCCATATGGAAATGTATTGAATATTAGTCCATGAACTATTTTTGTAAGGTTTGTACTGGAGTTAAAAGGAGGAGAGAGACTAATATATTAGTTTGTAAGCTGTCAAAATTATTTTTAAAGACTTTTTTGTTATAAAGTAGCAGAAAATGAATTTACACATCAGTAGGACTTCAGTTTTATTAACTACTTCTTTTTTCTTTTTTTTTCTCTTACAACAGGGACAGAGAATTGTTCATTAATCAAATGAAATCTGTGGAAACCACTCTTCATACGGTAAGAATTTGAAGTGTTTTGTCTGCATTTGTATTTCCAGTCACATCAAGCTTTTAAAGCTACTTGTTCTCAGGGAAGCAGGGATGTAGAAGTTGAATAGCAGCTTCAAGTTTCCACCTTCAGCTTGTTTTGGCTCCAAAAAGTATTCAGATTTAGCAAGTTAAAATACAGCTTTGATACATATAGACTGCTTTGTTCCAATATTAGACTTATTATTATGTAAGTATTAATGTGATGAAATTCGCCTTCCTTTTCTCCATCACTGAGCAATATTTCTGTTGGCTGTTGATCCTGAGTTGCTGAGTTACCTCACTGCTGAGGTATGTGGTTACAAACATGGTGCTCATAAGACATTTAGCTTTGTTATGCTGCTTTAATCTTTGATACATAGTGTGTATCATAAGGAAAAGATGGCAAGTATTAACCTATATGCAAAATCATAAATAATATTTTCTTTTAAATCCTTTTTTTGATTTACTTAAGCATTCTCCTTGACTGATATTATTTTATTCTGATGTAGTATTCTTTGAAGATTCAACAAAGCTGAATATGTAATTATTTGGGAGACAGAGTTGTATTTAACTGTAGCTCTGGTGGCTGGTTGTTTTGTAATTGTTTTTAGTCCAGAGCAACACATAGCAAAAAAAGAGTTTTTATTACCTTGGAGTGTTCATTTCCCTTATCACATCTTGAATTCCCAGTAACGTGGGAATCTATTCTTTATTTTAGTTTCTGTGTCCACCAAAACTGTTGTTAATTTAATTTTCACATACCCTTTTCAAAATTTTCTTTCTTTTAACATTCATAAAAAGTGACAGGACCTAAACTGCTTTTCTGTTTTAGCTTCACCAAACAGTGCTTATAGGTAATTTTTTTCTTTTGCATCTCCATCTCCTTCATGTTTCTCTTAAGCTTGGGAAATCTACATAATGCAGAAAGTGCAGTGTTTTTTTCACTGATGTATACATGTAGTGTTCTTGCATTGACAGTTTATTATTGTAAATTAAACGTTTATGTTTTGCTTTAGAAGGTAGTGCACGATCGCACTATCTTCTTAAGGATAGTGTACATAATACTGTTCTTCCTAATGCAGTCAGTACGTTAAAAAAAACTCATTTTTCTTTTAGAAACTTAGTTACCATGTATGCTTTTCATTTCTTCATGTTTGTTAGAATTGTACATAGTTGTTAGGTCTGAATAACTAATTATTGAATAGCACAGTAATTTATCTTTTCTGGTTTGTCACCCTAAAGAATGAGGAAAACATAAGAATTAGAAATGTCAGGATGATCTTTTCAGCAGGAAATAAAACAATTGATTGTAAATCAGTTGTAATTTGACGTATTATTTCTCCTACAAGAACAAAGGGAAATTATTGATCGTCGTTTGGGAAATATTTGAAACTTAGATCTGACATCATAATGGTATCTAATTATCTAACAGTAATGAGCGTGACTTATGTGTAGCCTATCCAACTTGCATTGTTGTTCTTAAATGTTTTTGTACAGTGAGTGAAAAATGAAAGCATAATGAAGTAGATGAAATACTAGTAAAGGGGTTTTTCTTTTTTTTCCCTATTGAAATTCTGGGAATTGCATTCATTTTCAAAAGTGAATCAAAAGAAAAAGGATATCAATTTCTGAATCATCTAGCGCTGAAAAAGTATCAGTATTAGCTGCAAATACCTTTATGGGAGTTGGACACTGAACGTTGTGGTATTTCTACATTTATGTATTCATGAGCAAATATCCACAAAATTCCACTGCATCACCTGCAGGATCTGTGTTATCAATGCATAATACTAAATTTTTGCTTATAGAGCTCAGAGGGATTTTACAGACATCTGTAGTAATCTTACTTAGTCTCAGGGTAAGAAGGAATACACCGATATCCATTAAGGCAACCTCATTCTTTATTGTACTCTGTCACTGAAAGAGTTGAAGAAGGCAGCAGAGTAGGTGGCAGGTCCAGTATAGGTGGATATATTTGGATGTAATCTTCAGCAAACAAAGCAGAAAGGGATCTCTGTGCCTGGTTCTAATACAGCTCTAGACAAGGGATCGTTTACATTATTTACTGCCCCCATGTGACTGGATGGAAAATCTAGTATCATATATTTGACTCAACAAATGCATCTGACACCAGGAGCTGGATTATTTGCACAAGAATTCTCATGATACCATTAAAATAAAAGAACCTTTTTGTTGTTGTTTTATACCATCTAAAAATACTTTTTAAAAGTCAAGTATTAAGTGAATATTTTAACAAATTTACAAAAAAACACCAGGAGCAAACGAGGGACCTAATCATCTGGTTTTATTCAATTCTGTTTTGTAAACAAAAGATACTAGCTGAATTTTTGAAAGTTTAGGTTTGGAAAAACAGATCTCTGTTTTTTGTTTTTTTTTTTTTTGTCCATAGGATCTATTACACTGCCTGAACTTTTTTCTTTACACTGAAGAACTTTTCAAAATAGAACAGGTTAGACACTGGCTTAGAGAAATTGTGCCTGTAATTGACCCATTACTTAAAAAAAAACACAAAACAGAACAAATAATAGTTAAAAAAAAAAACAACAACACAAAAATAAGAAGGCAGAATGCCAGTAAATGAATTTTATTGGAGGAGTTCTTCTGGAAAAAAATCTAGAAGAAACTTCTTCTGAAGTTCTAACACAAAGATTTTTTCTTAAAAAGTTCTGACCAACACAAGAAAAAAAATAAATTAATGCCTTATTTCATAAATTGTCTAGAGGCCTTTTTTATGTATGGAAAGCAAATGATTTCTTGAAGATTTCCTCTAAAAATAATGGTGAGAAGTGTTTTATTTTTCTTAAAAATATATGCATTATGCTTTTTTGATGAGCTATTTCATTGCTAGCATCTTCTGTACTTATTCCTATCAATATTATTTTTTTCTTAAAACACAGTTGTGGACATTAAATCTGTTAATTGCATACAATTAGATTTTTTATGTTAATGACTTACTAGTCATGGTAATCCAACCCATAGAAAAAAATCATTTAATGCTGTTTGTGCTAAAATCTGTAGCCTTCCCTTTGTTTAGCTTCTGAGTTTGAGTGTTACTGGTGGACCCCCACCTAGCTATGTTCTTTCTGTCCCCCTTAATGAGATGGGGAGAGAATGGAGCAAGAAAGCTTGTGGGTTGAGATAAAGGCAGAGAGATTGCTTACTGTGGGCCAAAGAGCTGACTTCAGAGAAAGTTAATTTATTAATTAACGTAGATTAAAATAGATTTGGGTAGTGAAAAAGGAAGGTCTGGATAGTGGAAAAAGAAGACAAAATGAATTAAAGCAAGACTGTATCCACCCCCAGCTCCTCTTCTTTTTGAATCTTTAGATTCAACTTCACTATTTCATTCTCAGCTCATTTATCTTTACTCTGAGGCTGGTGGTTGTGGTAAGCTCTCTATAGTTCTCTGCTTCTTCCTGCTCACATTTATCCACTGCTCCAGTGTGAGTTTCCTCTCTCTGGTCTGCAGTCCTTCAGGAAAACTTGCTCCAGCAGGGGCTCTTAATGGGCTGCAGTTCCTTCATCAAATATCCACCAGTGGCAGTGGATGCAGAGTTTACATCTGTTCCAGTGTGGTTTCCCACTGGGCAGCAAGGGGACAACCCACAACGTCATCTCAGTGAGCTGCTAGGGTGACTGTCCTTGCGTGTAGGACACATGCTCACTGTCCTTCAGTGGCTTTGGTGGCTGCACTGCTGCTTCTTACTCTTTTCCCTGTGCCCCCATATGATCTTGTGGTTTTTTTCCACACAGTTTAACTGGGGTTCCAAAATTTTGGCTGCTGGGCTCTGCCATTCCCTACAGTGGAGCCATTGGCATGAGTCAGATGTGTCTGTATCCAGTATGGGATAGCCCCAAACTCTTCTATGGAGCTCCCCTCGCCATCCCACTGCTGCTGGCTCCTTGACAGCTGCACACAAATACAGCGCTGTAACTCCCTTTTCTTCAGACTCCCCAAGTCCCCCTACTCTGAACTTCTGCCTATACAAAACACTGTCTTGGGAAGTCATCCCAGTGAGTCAGCCTGTACAGAGCCAGGGAATTTTTTGTATTTCTCCTTGTACTCTTAACTGTTAAAGTCTTGATGAGCTTTACGAGCTGGCAAAGTTTTCAGTCTGCCTAGAACACCAGATGCTTAGTATTTGGCTTTTTTGTCAGATTAATAAAATACCATGTCTTCTCAGCTTGGACTTTTACCCACTATTCTATGTGAGGTTGATGAAGTGTGATAATGAATCAACAAAAAAACCTCCCAAATTTTTTTTCTTTCCCTATACCTGATAGCAGCCCACTCATTCTGACATTCTGGCACAACTCCGGGATCAAAGCACCTATCCAGTGTGTTTCTTTCCTTTTTGCACTTGGTTAGTAAAGTCCTTTTCGTTTCCCTTCTGCAGTGCACTTCATTTCTGCTGGTTGAGAAGGTTGTATGCCAGTTGGCAGATCTGCTGCCATGCAGTCCTTGTGTTACATTGCCTCACCACTGCTCCCTGTGCCCGTTCTCTTCTCTGAAATATCCGTAAAATGGCCAGGCGTGAGGCTTGGGCCCATCAGTGCGGCCAGTTGTGGAAAAAAAAAAAAAAAAGAATGCTTTCTTTATCCAGAAATACAATGTATTAAAAAATAAAAGGTAAAGAGTCAGTTGGAAATCAGGTGAGATGTTGGAACACTTGAAAATTAGTAACATTAGAGTCTTATTTTTGATGTGGTCCATAGTAATAAAATGAGTTTTTTTATGATACTTGTTTTATGGCCTGTAAGGAATTAATGTGCAGTAGCCTTAAGTCCATATACAAGTGAATAACACTGGTGATAACATGAGTTGTAAGTAGCATTAGTTGTTAGTTTCAGCAAGAAGACTGCAAATAGATTGAGCTAACGTTGGCTGCCACAAATCAGACTTTAATAAATGTTGCCCACTTAGATAATTTTTAGCCGCCCCCTTTTTTTTTTTTTTTCCTGAGTTAA